CTTTTATAAACAGGGGAGAGGAAATGTGCTGTCAAAAGTGGTCCACGCGCCGCAAACACTGACAAATAGATGGCCAAACAAACTTTCTTTAATCCATTGCCTGAGATGGAATGAAAAGCAAAGATAGATTTATGGGTTTTGTGACATGAAGGTAATTGAGAAGTGATTACTTATAGAGCCAACAGCAATTAATAAATCAAAACACTTTTATAATGCTAAAAGTCTCCTAATTGGCCAAACAAATCACTGCACCTTGAGAGGGTAATTCATTTATTATAATCAAACAAGTGGTGGTGACAAGGCTCTCCATTTGCCCTTTAACAGTACTTTAATAACAGCTCCAGATGAGCAATCTAGCAAATTATATCATATCAATAACCTTAACATAGATTACAGGTGCGATATGCAGTGCAGTCTATGCTTCTCACTTTAAGTATAATCTGTAAAACCTCAATGTTTGGTTGAGATTTTTCATGTTATCAACTATTTACAGTGCACACAACAGCAACAATAGGATCAAGACTATTAAATATGTATCTATAAATAATCTGGATTACAGGACTATAGGAAAAATCTGGAGTATTATCATATGGAGTAGTCATATATAATCCTTGCAACAGATTAGCAACATTGGCCTGCTGTGGTAAATAGAGCTGACCCGTGGAAAAACCCAGACGAGATATAATCTACTAATTGGCATGTACTTTATCTATGTATATTAATATTACATTTTATGCAGTCTTGTTTCAAATTATTAGAGATTATACCATTTGAGATTGAGGCCTAGAAAATCTGTTTTGGTGAAACCAAAGAGACTGACATTTTGGAAGACAGCTCCACCACCTGGTGAGCAGGTGGAAAATGTGTGTTGCTAAAGCTCAACTAAGTCCCGCAGTGGCACTTCTGAGTAAAAAAGGGTCAAAAATTGTTGCCAATCTGCAACGCCTGCCTTGAGAATATTTCCAATTCTTGAGAACTGCTTTGTTTGGACTTTTCAAAGGTTTGCCTGTCCAAAATGGCTCCTAGGCATTCACCTGGAGCCACGGTCCTCATGGTCCTCATGGACCTCATGTTCCTCATGGTCCTCATGGTCCTCATGGTCCTCATGTTCCTCATGGTCCTCATGGTCCTCATGGTCCTCATGGTCCTCATGGTCCTCATGCTCCTCATGCTCCTCATGCTCCTCATGGTCCTCATGGTCCTTAGAAGAATGGCTTAATTCGAGAAAAATGTATCTGCCTTAAAACAAGATTTGCTAATGTGACAAGCAAAATGATCTTGTTTCTAAAAGATAAGAATTTTCTCTTTCTCCCTCAGAAAGAGAAAAAAGTAACAGTTCTTGAAATAACACTAAATGGCTCATCCCATTGGCAAAACTTGTTTAAAGACAGTCCAAATTTACTCAAAATAAATGGCTTCCATTTCCCCTCTAATGCCCCTCCCTCCAGCGAGGTGTAAGTGCCTCTCTGTGGGCCTCAGCATACTTCATAGGGACGGGACAGAGACAGGGACTCTTTTCTTGTTGTGTTTTTAGGTCTGTATCAGAGGAAAAGGACATGGATCCAGTTCAGAAACAAGGTTCAAAGCCCCACTGTAATGAACTGTGCTCCTGCTGCCCGCTCCTTGGGCGGTGGATCCAAAAGAACATGTACAGATGATATTGCTCTCGTCTCATTTGTGTTTGTGAAGCTATGAGTGACATCACAGAGAGGTTATTTGCCAATGGGACAAGTCATTTAGTTTTATTTCAAAAACGGTTGCTTTTTTTCTTTTGTCTAATTGTCCTTGTCCCATTGGAGAATCTTGTTTTAAGGCAGTTCAAGTGTGCTCAAACATTTTACCAAATTTTAGCTTATGTCAATGTCAGCTTTATGTCTCTAGCACATTTACAACAACACCATTTTCCCAAAGTCAAAACTCAGTCGGTGTTAAAAGCCATGGCATACAAGTTTGTCCCGACTAGTTTATAACATAATTCAAGTGACTGTGGTTTGAAAGTTACGTACCCCAGCTTTAACGTTCAAAAGGATGCAGTAATTCACATCTTGAATGAATGAATGAATGCATTTATTGAGAAACTCACAGTCAATTCAATATCAAACATGGATAACATCAGAAAGAAGAGCTCTAAATAAACAAGGTGCTCCGCTCTGTGAGCTGTGAGCTTCCTGTTCTGGAGGTTCTTTATAAATCCAGACTTTTAAACCTAAGACTTAGAATAACCAATGACTGTTCTGGCCATCCTGGAAAAGCCTTGTTCCAGTTTCTTCCTTCTGGCAGAAGAGATCGTTCGCTGAGATGCAGGACATTTCGATATGCTAACAGCTTCTTCCCACAAGCTGTCATCAGTTTAAACAGAGCACTTTAATGTTCTTGCACCTCGTATTGAAACTGTTTTAGCCGATCGGTTTCACAGTGACAATTGTTTACTGTTTATTTGTTTTATTTCTGTACTTTTAACCTTGTTTTATGTCTGTACTTGTCTTGTGCACAAGGGGGACTTTTGCTAATGTATTCCAATGTGGTTTTACTGCAAATGGTAAATAAATGAATCTGAATATGAATCTGAAAAGCATAGTAAATGTATATTGCAAATTTATATTTCATGTGTTAATCCCAATCCATGATGAAAGAAAAAAAATACTGGGGCTATGTCATTTTTTTTAAACTATTTTTGGGCTCTTTTTTTTTTTTTTCAAACAGTTGTATATTTAAGACCGTCCCCTTGGCTTATCACCAGTCTGATTTTCTGGACGAAAATAACTTAGCTGATGACAAAGAACCCTCAAGAATTAATTTTGACCAATGAGGAAGCTGCAGAGGTGAACATGGGTGGGTCTAACCAGACAAACCCAGGTGAAATCATAATAGTAATGTGCAGGGCTGGACTGGCCATCGGGCGTACCGGGCAATGCCAGAAGGGCCGATGCCCATATTTGGGCCGGTCTGTTTGCCTCATACAAAAAAGATGTTTGTGAAAAGTGTAAATCCGTTGAGAAATGTTCGAGGGGGCGCGCGTGTCCGCGGGGCTCCTGCTGCATGTACTGGAACGGGATTCCACCACCTCAGCGGCCGCAGTGTTCCCGCATCCAGCGGCTCTGAGCTGGACGCGGGAACCGCTCACAACACAACACGGTGAGCGCGTAGCCGCAACGTGACCATGTACCCAAGACCATAAACGTGCACAGGACCATGCATGTTTTTGCGTAATTTGTGCACCCAATAAATACACCGCTGCAGGAAACAGTCCGCGTCTCCCCTCTCCTCTAAATTAAAACTCGGGTACCTAAATTTTCCATTGCATTAAAAGTTCATGTTTGAGCCCAAAAGTAAAATGTTGTGAAACAGATTTAGAGCTGCAGCCAATGGCTGACATTATGCATTTCAGAATTTTTTACCAATTCTCATCCCTGTAACAAACAATATTGTCTGTGTCCACCTCCCTCACTCTGAGACATGTTTATTACTCTGTTTAATGTAGACTATTGTACTTTATTTTATTGTTGAAACTGCAGACATCCTGATCCTCTACAGTATTTGCTTCCACATACTGTATAAACCAGGGGTCGGCAACCTTTAGTGCCCCTAAAGTGCCAGGCGGCGTGTGCATTATAGACTGTGTGTGCGCATGGATCCCAAAGATAAAGAGAGAGCGTCAATAAGACTGGACTAAGAATGAGAATGAACATTTGCTTTCAGTCAGTGAGGAAGGACTGCTTCATGTTTGAGATGTAATGAAAAGTTTTGTTGCAACAGGAGGAACAATGAAGCTCTAAACACTGTTCACTGAAAGATTCATTCATCATAAAGTCAGAGCACCTATTTTCAGACTTCAAACACCTTCGCAAAGACGGTGAAAGAAAAGGCCATTAAGGACATTCAGCTCCAGCAAACTTCAACCTGTGACGTGATGGATATGAACAGACAATGATGCAGGTGAACTCGGAGCCAAAAAACAGATTTATTTACTCTATTTGTACAATTGCATGAAGGCAAAAAAATGGAAGTAAAAGTTAAAGCAGAGTTGTCACGTGGTGCGTCATTCTCTCCAGGACACGCTGCAGTGAAAATACACATTTGATAATCATGAATGGTTTTTATGTGTTTAGCCTTTACTTTGTCATTTAGATATTAGTCTAATATAGCTAATATAGCTAATATAGCTAATGTAGCTAATACAGCTTCAGCCCCTGTTACCTTCATATAAGCCTTATGCAACGCTGTTATTTTTTTTTTTTTTGTCAAATAGGGCTCCTTGAACCTTTTGAGTTGCCTGGGCCGCCAAAAAGGAAAAAATGCCCGGGCCGTTTTTTTGTCCCAGTCCAGCCCTGGTAATGTGTGTACAACAGAATTGAATAAATATTGCAAACTCAGATAAAAAGTTGTTTTTTTATTACTAGTTAAACATTTTGAAACACACACGGTTACAATAGATTTGTGGAAAAAAAACATTAAATACACAAATAAAATCCTAATTGAAACTACAAATGTACAACAGTCTACTACTCCCACACCTGCTACTACTGACTAAAGCTCTATACAGACTAGCTTCTACAGACCTAATTACATACGCCCTTTAATTCACATCATTTGATACACTTCTATGGCCCTGGTTTTCCAACTTGCATTTATCCGACAGTTACAACAAGGCGACTAAAATGACTATAGGTATATTTAATTTTGGATTTGAAAATGTTACAGCCAAAGCTAATAGAAGCTTTTACTTATATGTGTTTTGTCTTTTTTTGGTGCTTTTTATTCCTACTGCTCTATCGGATGCAACACTGACATGTCTGTACTGTAAGGTTGTGCATAAATCATATCTTATATCAAACAGGAAACTGAATTTTGAAGAGAAAAAAGTAGCCTTACAATTCTAATTTAATAATAAAATGTGTAAATGTAGTGATGAACTCCAACCTGTCCATTTTCTTATTAGTAAAAATAAAGGTCTTTTTTCTACCACACCACACACAATGTCCATGAAAATCTCTGGCTTTCTATTGGTTTTTGCTTATTACACTTTTCAGAAAATCTTCAAAATGCGATGAGCTGGTGTCTCCTTTCATCGGCTCGTCTGCTGCAGCCAATGGAGCGCCCTGGTCGGTTTCGGAGGCGGGACTGTCGGCTTGAGGTTCCGAGTCCACTCTCCGAAGGCGGCAGTTGTAGTCGTATTCGGGATCGCAGTGGGGGTCTGGATAAATCATGCCGTCTTTGATGGTTTTAGACTTGGTGCCTGCGGGGACCACAAACTTACCGCACTTTGGGTCGAACGGGTGACAAAACGGTTTGGGTGCCGCCTGCAGATCTCCTTTGGCTTTGTGGTCCAGGGGGGTGCAGTCTTTGTCGTAGTGGACGTAGCAGTCGTAGCCCTCCTTGGTCTTGCCCGGGACCCCCAGCTGGTAGCGGACCTGGGTGGGTGGGTTGATGGTGGGTGGTGAGTGAGTGGTGGAGTTCAAATAGACGTATATCAATGTATGTCAATCCAATCACCACAAGAAATGTGGTTACTTCTGCAAACACCCAGATACATGGACAAGAGTCAGAGGCAGGCACTTCAGAAAGTATAGACTGGTTCTTAAACAGCATCAATTATCCAATCCAATAAATCCAATCAAATCTCTGTGATGTTAAATTAAAGCTGGAGGGCCTAAGTTTTGAATGATTTCATGATTTAATGAATACATACTTTAACATACTGAGTGAGGGCTGGTACTTGTATTCATTGAATAGACTGATCAGATGAATCCAAATTGACATGCTTATGAAAACTAGAGAAAGTGTTGCATGAATTTCCCTACATAGTATATTTTAGGGTTAGGGTTTGTGCCTCTAAAGCAATGTAAAAGGCTATCACATTATTTGTAAATGTATTCCAACTGCAGCCTATGTAGGTCATGTACCAACACTTCATTAGTTTCCGGTGATTGGTTTGACAAATAATAACATCACACATGACGACCAAATTGCAAAAAGCATAATTACCTCAGCCTAAACCTAAGCTGCAACCCCAAACATGTACTTTTATTGTTGATTGGGGTTTTTTTTCTGTAAATTCCAGTTATTGCCCTTATCATACCTCTGGTCACTTATAGATAATCTCACAGTTAAACGTCTGTAGTGTTTATTCATATAATAGAATTGTATTATGATTTTTAATGTATGTATGAGTCTATGTACGTATATTGTATGTACTTTTCTATCATGTATAATATGTAATTGCTGTGAATTCTATAATTGATTCCTGTTTATAAGCTTGAATAATCCAAAAATCCTAGTTTGAGGCTGTCAGTGATGCAGCCTCAAATTTTCCAAAGGCAGTAAACATAATTCTGATTCTGACTGAATTAATAATGTATTGTTCTTTATTTATTTAGTTATTAATCCCATTGTAAAGATACAAAATTCAGACCTGGTGCTCGGGAAGCTGTGGGCTGGGTCTTCGCAGAGCTGCACCCACACGCCAGAGGCAGTAGGGGTCCACACGGGGATCACAGGACAGGGGTGCGGCTTTGTAAGCGGCGGCGGCAGAGACCGGGGCGGGAGCGGGGGCGTCCTTCATGGGATACTCCAGCACTGGCTTGCTCAGCTCGGCCAGCTTGGTGGCGGTGAGCGGATTGCAGCCTGAGTCAAAAAGCGGGTTACAATGCTGCTCTTTCGGCGCCTCGTCGGACGTGAGCGGGGCGGCCACGTTGACCACACACAGCGGGTCCACGTTCGGGTCGCATTTGGGGTACATGAGGTGGTAGAAGCCGGTGGGAGCTTTCTGCACCATGAGAGGCATGCAATAGGGGTCTTTGGGGTCACACTTCAGAGCGGCGTAAGACGGAGCCGGGCCGAGCGCGGGCTTGTATCCGTACGCGGCTCTTAAGTGGTACTGAAGGCACTCCACGTCTTCTGGGTGGCAAATGCGTAGAAGCTCTGCCCTCTGCTCGCTGCCCAGAAATGGCTCCAGGACGGGCGTGTAGTAGTGGTAACCCGCGTAGGATTTGATCGGCATCGGGAGGAAGGGGTGGAGGATGGGCGCTGGGGCTTTGACGGGCGCGGATTCAGGCTCTGGCTCGGGTTCCAGAGCGTGTGGGAGCATTGGGTACAGGCAGTAAGGGTCCACGTATGGGTTGCAGAGGCGAACGCCGGCGGATTTGATGGGAGCGGGCATGATCACGGCGGCCTTGGGCTTGCTGGTGGACTCTGCGATGCACTCTGGGTCATCTGAGTTGGCGCAGCCCTTGTAGATCTCGCTCAAGTGGGACAGGTAGTGATTGAAGGTGGGGCCCTCCTCAGAGCGGTGCTTGTTCTGCAGGTAGGCCAGGTACAGGCGGTCCAAGTCCTCCACCTGAAGAAGGATGAGAGATTTGTTGTTAGGCCACTCTGGTAGACAGTCTGCCAATGCTTGCTTCTATTAAAGTCAATGTCAATTACGTGTGGTGTACAGTTTTTTCCAAGGAAAGCACTAGTTAGACCTGTCCATTCTCACGCCTACTGCTTCCTGATTAGACAGAATTAATTTAATTCCTTGATATTACTAATCTGCTCTGCTTTGGAGTTATTCCTTTCTGAGCTGCAGGGTCTTAGGACAGCAATGATTCAAGACATTTAAGGACATTAATGGACACACCCAGCTGGTGCTATGTGTACTGGGTGCAGCTCTGACTACCACCCCCCCGACCCAGAAATGGAATAAGGGGAACAAAATGGATGGATGGATGGACACACTAAATATTTATCAGCAGCAGTCATCCCGCTCCCAGAAGGACCAAAGGATCCTCTGTATTTGTTATCATTGCATTTCCTGTGTTCAAACCGTTTGATTTTCTGATCTGTCGAGGAAACAACAACTTTGAAAAATCCAAGACGACTGCTGTTGTGATTTAAGACTGTAGAAAATTCATTTTCTGATGGTTGTGGTATTACCAAGGAGAGAGAAACAATTGAATATATTGTTTGAAATATACTACATATGGTCAAAAATATGCACTGAAAAACAATGTAAGTGAATTATAAAAAAGATAATCAATTGTTAGTGAATATACAAATTCTGGAGTTGAGTCAAAATAGTTATGCTTGGGGAAATAAATATTTTTAATGCAGCCCTCCTCCACCTCACTCAATCATGTTCAAGAATAATTATGTTAGAAAAATAAAACAAAAAGTAATAAAAGAAGTAGGAGGAGTAAAGAAGTAGACCTTACACGGAGGAAAGTCAATTATGCCATAAAACAACTGATTTCTCTGTCCATCTAATACTATCTAAATGGCAGCTTCACTCACTCCCTCCTGGTTGTGCGAGTCCATGAAGTACTTGTACCAGCCCCAGAAGTCGGGCAGCCGTTTGTACTGAGGCACGGCGAGCATGGCCGGAGCGTGTCTCCTGTCCCGACTCAGCCTTCGCAGGTTCGACATCACCTCCTCCTTCACGTCCTCTGACACAGCAGGAGCTACACACACACAGATCAGTAATGTGACCAGATGGGCCGTAAAAATAAACAAGCCAGAGTCTAGAGAAAACTATAAAAGAGCGTGTAGTTAAAGGCATGTGCTAATTTAGCGGTGTACGGTGGAGGCAGTGCTGACACGAGCTAAAACACGCTAATTACATCACGATAGAGTCGGGATTAGTCCACGTTTATTCAAAGAGCTATTGTTTACTGAAAGAGTGCTTTGAAATGTGTTCACACTCAATAAAGAACACATGTTGTAAAATGTTAGGCTTCTAGAAACTCGACAGTTAGGGAGGCATATGATTTCTCTGCGTTACAACATTGTTCCTTGTCAAAAACAGGAACCAAAGCTGGAGTTATAAAAGCTCCTGTCTCAGTTATAGTATGATGTCATTGTGCCACTATGACATCACGCTTAAAGCAGTTTTTTGACATTTGAAATTGATTTTATAATTTCTTTTACTGTGCTCGCAGCCAGTGATTTTCCAATTTGGAATAAAACTCTAAATCTGCCCCTGGTGGCAGCATAGGGAGTTACAGGTCGTAGCATTTTTTACCCTTGATACTGGTTTCATCATATATTTTGTACTTAGGACATTATTACACATTCTAAAACATGAATTAACTGTGTGTGTTTTTATGGAAAAGCTAATAAATACAGGTTAGAAGGATGACATGCAGGATATATTTTACAAATCAAAGAGCTTGGCAGGAGTAAAAATACTGTTTATACTATTTACATATGTGTATGTGATCTCACCTTGGTGGTCCTCGTGCTGGTTGACTGGCACTGCCCTCAGGAGCTCTATGAGACACAGACATCACATGTTACAATATTTGTCTGTTTTCAACGATTAATTACAGGTAAAACTCTGAAAATTATCAAATATTTTTTTTAGAAGCTGTTAGCCAGTTATTATTATGGGAAATAGATAGCAATACAAGTGATCTGGCCTTGTGTTGGTCACAACGACTGCGATTGTGTATCCGTGTTATGACTCTATGATATTTCGATTGTCTCTTGATGTGACACATGTCTTTGGTGTGACGTAACATTGACGATATAATGCATATCCTGACTTTGTTCTGCCTGAAAAAAACAGAATAAACTTCCAGGTGGCTCTGGTGTGTAAAGATCCTGTATTTTTCAACATTATTACAAATTGAGAGTTGATAAATCTATCTATATAAAGGGACTGGCCTCCGGCTGTGACCAGAGGCACTTAACATGGGGAGGCAGCGTTTCAGACATTTGCGGTTACAATCTAGAAAAGTCTTCCTGAAAATGTGAGGCTTCTCCTCTGGCAATGTTCAAATGCAGGATAAAACAGCTCTGTTAGCTGTGAATACAGCTGTTCAATCTTTATAATTCTCTGTGATTATTTATTTTCATATATTTCAATACCTTGTGTGATTGTTTCGATCTTGTTTTGTGAAGCACTTTAAGATAAGATACGAAAAGCCTTTATTCGTCCCACAGTGGGGCAATTTCAATGACAAAATTTCGTACATTACAGCAGAATAAATTGAGGAAATAAAAGCACTCAGGTTGCACACATCAAACAAGATCTTTTATTTAAGATAATAGACAATAAAATAAAATAAAACTCTGAAGCTATAATTACACTTGGTTCAAGGATAAGTCACTAGTGCAGTATACGCTGTAGTCAGCCTCATGATGCATTTACAGATGTCCATAATATACTTTAGAAGTTTATATTTAGCGGTTTATACTGCACTCTAGCTGAATAAACAATAGTAACAATAGCAGCAGGTGAGTGACCAGTGAGTTAACAGAATCATCAGATGAATGGAACAGGAAACAATATAGCGACCAGTGATTAGCCTTGTGTATAAACTTGCCCTGCCTTATATCCCACTTTGCATGGAATCAGTCATATCATATATGAAAGGTTTCATGTTCTAATAACTTATCTAATCTTTATCTAATTATCTAATCTTTTCCTGTATACTGTTATTAGTTGTAATGCTAAAAACTTTTCATTCGTTATTTTCTCTTCTTTCATGTCGTCCAGGATCTGCCTCTCCCTCCGCACACACCGTATGAAAGAGCGCTGAGATGCTGTGTGCAAACTCAGGAGGGGCAGATGATTTCCTGTTTATTAAACTCCAGTTACAGAGCTGGGCTTTGAACTCGCAGCTACGGGAGCCTGCTTAAACCAAACCTGTAAAAGTACAAAGTGAGGCCCTCACACAAACTCATAAGCAACGCACTGTAAAAGCACAGCAGGTGGGAGACTGCTGCACGTCGCCACGTCGTATGTTCATCATAAAAACTGTCTATGTGTGAACTAAACAAACAGCAAAAAATAGAACATATGAGGTAACAAATGCTTTACTCAAGAGATTGTTGTTTTAATCTGAGTACATTCTGTCTTAAAGCAAGATTTTCCAGTGGGATTTGTGCATCTTTTTTAAAAGAAGATAATTCTGCTTGTCCCATTGGCAAATCTTGTTTGAAGGCAGTCAAAATGTGCTCAAACTAAGATACGATTTGACAAATGTTTTCAGTGATATGCTTTTCAGGGAAATTCTCAATATTCTTAGCCGTTTTAGTATATGGTACCGTATCTTCGAAACCAACAACAAACAAGTATTCAGGGAAAATCCTGGAGAACAATGGCCTCCAGCAGCACTCAATCTCTGTCTGAACACTTTGGTACCAGCTCGTCCTGGTTAAAACCAGAGCAAAGCAGGTAATCAAAAGTACCTGGTACCAGTTAAACAGCGTCAGTGTAAACACTGCAAAATCAATAAGATGGCAAAAACAATAGTAAAAACCAAAAGGCCAATCAATATGAAGAAATGCCCTGAAGATAAAATAGACGACTGTTTTAATTCCGTTGTAGAAACTTGCACGTTGCTGGTTTGTGCGACAACCTCTGACCTTGGGGAACAATTATCAAGTTCACCAACCCTTTACACACTCCATTTCTTAACCACTATCATTAGAACAACACGTGCCAGCTTTACTTAAATGGATAATTGTGTGATAATTGCTTAATTCTTACCTGGCAACGCAACGAGCCCTAACAGTAGTAACGTGTGAAACGCAGAGAGTTTTGCCATTTTCTAGTCGAGTGCCTCCTGTAAGACAAAAGAGCAAAGATTCATGATATTCATTACAGATTAGACTGAACTGGAGCCTGCACTGCAAAAACAATAATGAGAAATGGTTTTCCCACGTTTTAGCAAGTTTATGTAACTGTTTACGTGTCAACAAAAATCAAAGGAGAAAGATGAGTTTTTGCTCGTGGAAAAACAAACGAAAAAAAAAAATCTGATTATGGCAATAATTGGTTTTCATATGATTTAAGTCCATCCATCCATCCATTTTCTTCCCCTTAATCCATTTCTGGGTCGGGGGGTGGCAGTCAGAGCTGCACCCAGTCCACTTAGCACCAGCCCCTCACTGATCCTCCTGCAGGTGGTGAGTCCACAGGAGCTGAGATCTTTCAGTGGGAGATGATTTAAGTCATTCAAAAATATTTATTTCAGAACATGTTCAACACAAATCCATCAAACAAATAATACAACTGCGTATATAAGGGGTTGGATGAAGCACCAGCCCACCTCACCCACCACACAGACAAGACGACCTAAATAATAATAAAAAAATACCATAATTATATAAACATACACAAACACACACACACACACACACACACACACACAGAGATATATACACACAATTTCCACACTTAAATTTGGAACAATTAAAGGTTCTCTTATCTAAACACATACATATACACACCCACACAAATGCCCAAATACTCTCTCTTAATCCTAGACGCTAAAGGCCTGGGGTATTCAACTCAGTCCTCGAGGGTCTGTGTGGAAATAGGCGGCGTCTGGTGTGCTCCTGCTTGGTTGGAATGAAAACCTGCAGCCACACGGACCGTTTGAGGGCCAAGGTGAATACCCCATGAGACAAAGAGCTTGGCTTCCGTTAACTGGTCGGCACGGAGACAATGCAGAAAAGGGGGAGACACTTGACAAGTCGTAATTTGTTCGTTTTGAGAACAAGCACAGAGACCAAACGGGACTGAAACATGGATATCAAAGAAACAAAAGAAGTGGGACAAAACTGAAATCGAGTCTTTCATTAGAGCAGAGAAAATGGAGAGAGGGTGAAGACTTGGATAATTGCAACACAGTCGTTAAATACTGTGTCAAAAGGAGAATGGCTCTGCAGGCTTCATTAGCATGGCTTTTCAACAATAATAAACTCTGGACATTTTGAGACACATTGGGTTCAATACAGAAGGTGGGAATTAAAATTACAATGTTGTGAAAGTCAATCTGTTTCAACCATGATCATTCAAATGTTTTTTTATATATGTTTTCTGTCTGATATTGTTGTAGAACTATAAGGAAAAAAACAGTTACATTAATTACAGATGAGACTGAACTGGTGTCTGAAAAAATCAAAAGAATGATGAGAAATGGTGTCTATTCAAACTCATGGTTTGAGTTGTTTTAGGTGTATATTTACATGTAAACAGAAGTCCAAGAGCGAGAGGAGCTACTGGTGAAAAAAAAAAAAAAAAACTGGTAGAAGTAAACATAGATTTTTGCCTGGGTCATAAATACTGTTACTTTTAATGGTTTCAGATACTTTTTTAATACTATAAAGGGAAATTACTTTAAAGTAAAAAGGGGGGGGGGGGGGGGGGGGTCACATTCAATTAATTCCACATACAGGTGAAACTCAGTAATTAAAATTAGTTTCATTTCATTGTAAGCTGAAATACGGAAATAAATTGACTTTTGAGCCATACTCTTTCCTGAGTTTCACCGGTAGAACATTTTCCTTTTTTCCTGTATTATTTCTTTCTATATCATATATTTTCTTAATTTCATCATCATTATCATTAATGTTATTATTGTTACAAAGTTTCTATTCTTCAGCAAAATTCTTATCTCTTTGATTGTTTCCTCGACCAATCACCTTTTGAGACACTATATCTACCTGAAGCTTGGAACTGGTTTTAGGAACTTTTACCATGAATTGCATCTAAACCAATCGGTAAAGGCCTAAAAATAAAAAAATAAAACTAGGGGTAAAAAAAAAAAGTTAAACACACATTAGTGTCCTACATCTGAGAAAATATTACATTGCTTACTTCAAATAATTTCTTGCTAATTTTTTTTTCTGGCAAAAATGCCATGTTTTTTTTTTTTTTTTTACAGATAATTTGCATGATAAAACAAAACATACACATAGATCAGACTTTTTGTTGTGTTTGCTGTGTGTGTCGGTGTCTGTAGTGTCTCTTTGTGTGTGTCGGTGTCTGTTGTGTGTTGCTGGTCTCACCTGTGCCTGTAGAAGTGTGTCCCCCGGTGCTGGAGGAGGCTCTGCTCTGGTCTCCCCTGTACGGGACTCTCCTCTGGGCAGACATTTTTAAGCAGCGCTGCAGCATCATTAAACACAAACAGGCTGCTGCTGCTGTTCCTCGCCCCGGGATTGGCTCCTGCTCGACCGCTGTCCCACCAATAGGGGTCCTGTAATTAGCCGAGGTGAGAGGGGTATTAACAAGGTGCCATTTAGCTCCCGCACTGCTCCTCCACGCTGGGCAGGGGTTTAGGACTGTCATGCTACAGGACACCAACGGCTGTAGAAGTATTGATGGGGAATTTTAAACATGAAATACACTAGAACCCCTGTTGCACTAAGCTGGTGCTGGTGATTTGTAAGTTACTAAGTAAGTTGGTCATCTTTATCTATATAGCACATTTTCTTTCACCCAAAGCACTTTACAATGTCCAGAGTACAGATACTTTTTCCATTCTCTCCACACTGTGATGAGGGAAGCGAGACGCCTCAATAGCATCATCCATTCACTTACATTCATACCTATTGTGCATGTTTTTAGTGATAGGGGAAACAGGAGCACCTGGAGGAAACCGGAGCACCTGGAGAAAACCAGAGCACCTGGAGGAAACCGGAGCACCTGGAGGAAACCTACGAAGACACGGGGAGAACAAGCAAACTGCATACAGAAAGGCCCTGGGATTCGGACCCAGGACCACTCGCCCAGTTAATGGTTGGATAGTCCTCTCACATTTGTTTATATTCATTTGTTTGTTTGTATGGAAAAGTGCATATTTGTAAACAGCAGATTGTAGCTACACAACTATTTTATATCTGTAGTCCCACATGCACTCATTCAACCTTCACCTAATGTACATGTTTTTAGTGATAGGGAAAAGTTAGTGTGATTCATAATAGATGAAACAGGCCCCCCTTGGCATAATCATAAACAGTAACATTTGCTGGAGGAGAAGAGTGAGACCAATGTGGAGAGACCTCAGCTGCCTACCAAGGATCTGAATTAATTGTGTCTAATCGGGAACTGAACTACGGTAAAATCAGGTGAATGGTTAGCGGTGGTGGAGGCCGATGGCACATACTGGTTGCCTCTCTTTTGTCAGTGTGCCCCAGGGCAGCTGTGGCTATAGTAATGGGTTCACCTCTGTGTATGAAGTGAATGAATAATGTAATGTGAAGCCTGTTTGAGTGTCCAAAAAAGTGCTATATAAGACGGTTATTATAATCATTATTATTAAAACGCACACAGACAGCCTTCTGTGCTGTATCGGGCAGAGGAAGAAGTGATGACCTTAATGTAATATAGTCAATGTGACTGAAATTATGTGTCATGTTCACTGCTGCTTTTATCAGTTTTCTAGAAGATAATGAAGATAATAATAATAATAATAATAATAATGTATCGATTTTATATACAGTAGCACTTTTATACAGTAGCACTTTTCAGGACACTCAAAGATGCTTCACATGTCATTATTCTTTCATGGTGGTGATAAACTACCACTCTAACCACAGCTGCCCTGGGGCACACTGACAGAAGCGAGGCAACCAGTATGTGCCATCAGCCTCTCTGAGCACAACCAGCCATTCACATACACACCAGACTCATTCTAGGCAATGTGGGGGAAGTGTCTTGCCTAAGGACACAACGACATTATGGCACTTTACAGCCGCCCCACCGTGGCACCTGGTGTTCCCAGAGGTCTCCCATCACAGCACTAACCAGACCCTGCACAGCACACCTGCAGAGGTCTGATGGGATCTGGCTAGATATAACCGAAATGCAGGGGTGAGTAATGCAATAAAAGCATAAATTGTCAAATATTAAGTAATTTAAATATAATTTGTTGATTATCTGGCAGAGCAGACCGTCTCAATGAGATGTTATGTGAATATTTGCAGTACACACTCAGTAAAGAAGGCAGTAGTAGCAGCTATAACACTTAGAAGTGATGATAAAACAGCAGCAAAAGTTTTTTCTTGATTGAGTAGTTCAACTGGCACAACGCTGCACCACGATGACGGAATGAAAAGAAGAGGATTTGTAAAATAAGCAGCAGACGACAGAGGAGGGAAACTAATGAAGCACGTTAGATGAAAAGCCGTTATACTTGCTTCATCACAGTGAGGAGACTTCTTTAAAGAAAAGACAGCAACCATTTCTGAAAATATCTCTGTGTTGCATCAGACCAAATAACTAAAACATGAAAAGTCCAAAGACAGAAGGAATAATCTACCTCACCGATTAAAGTGTTTAATGATTTAGTAAAAGGAGAAATATGAGATTGTCCTTAGAGCGGTGGCAAAATGATATCTAAGAACTTCTGCCTCTGCCACTCAAGGGAATGGGTTACTTTTGGGGATGGGGGAGGTAGTCAAAGGCATGTACAAACTTGAGAATTCTTGACCCTAAATATGAATTTCAAAACAAGAATGTGGGTAATTTTAAAGTAGATCATCCAATCAGAGAGCAGAATGAGGATCTCCTTTGGGCTGCCAGTTTGTATGGGCTCAATTTGTATATATATATTTCACAAAGAAACAGCACCACACATTTGTTTAAATGAAAGAAAACACAATTATAAGTAGTCCTGCGTAACACACAGACTTTGTTCTGTTTCTAGCTAAACTCTAGCAGGTGGATTGCATCAGTAATTTGTGCTTAGGAGCTACATGTCTCACAGGCAGGAATATTCTGGCAACAATAGTATGATTGTGATTGTAACGACTATGACAT